GATTCATTGTTACTGTGTGTGTGGTGGTTAGGTGTGGGTGGGGGGGAACATTCTATAATCTTATGATAAAATCCCAGTCGTTCAGTCTGTCTGTCTCTGGGCTGTGACCTTCACAGATGTTTTTCTAGTCATATGTTTCGTTTTTTTTTTTCCTACCTTGCATAAGACAAGAAGGCTGGGGCACTAGAGTAGGAGGAATGTCCTTTCTGGCTGCTGGGATGTGGCTCTGGTAAAGTCCTTCTCCCTGTAGAGAAGGCACTTCTTATACAGAACACTCGGGGGTATTTTGCAATAGCAACTTTCTCCTTCCCCCTGCCAAAACCATTAGGGGAATAAAAATGTGATGAAGGTTCTGAAATAAACCTAGAAAAGTTGGGGACTTACTAAGATTGCAGCCCCAGGAGTTTCTCAGTCTCAAGCTAGTCCACTCAGCCTCCAGCAGTGCATCAGCAGTACCAGTTCAGCGTTCCACTCACTCTATAGCTCGAGTAAGCAGATCTCAGCTGCGACTCTCTGGAGTCACTCATCTCTGGTTCCGGGGCGGCAGCTGGCCCTGCAACCTCAGTTCCCTACTATGTACAAGAAAAGGTGTTGATTTTCAGTGTGTTCACTGATTTCTAAGTCTAAGTATAGAAGTGACAACTTCCAAGGTCTCCTAATGTTGGGACTGAAACTGGAAGTCCTCATTGAATGTGTAATACAAAATCTGAAATGCTTATTTCACCAACATCTTCTTAACCTGTAATTAGGTCCATAAATTGCCTAAAATGCAAGAAAACTTGTACATCCTACATAACTGTACTTTTCATTAGGGTCTAAAGCTTTTTTAGATTCTCAAAGAGTTGAATGACTTGAAAAAATTAAGAACTACGTATCAGAAAATAATTCACTTTATTTCTGTAGGTAAAAACACAACTCAGGACCCAGGAATTCCACTTCTAGGAATTTACCCTAAGAATGGAGCAGCCCAGTTTGAAAAAGACAGATGCACCCCTATGTTTATCACAGCACTATTTACAATAGCCAAGAAATGGAAG